AGGTGATATTCTAGAAAGAATGTACCTGCCTAAGAGGTTGCTTTACCACAGAGTCAGCGCACCACTAGGCATGTGAACGGGAGCCTGTGGACAAGAGCCAAAAGGAGCTTGAGGGTCATGAGTTCCCAGGACCAGACATCTCGTCCAGGGCAGGCACAGAGCAGACATCAGTGTCGTAGGCCCCCCTGATCTGAGAGCAGAGACGCACCACTGCCGAGCCTAGCCCTTCTCTTGGCATAGGGCCCATGAGAGGAACGGCCACTTCCAAACCCAAGAATCTACTCTGAAGATGTTTCCCCAGCCTCCAGGCAGCACGCCACCTTCTCTGCTCCCTATGCAGGGTTCCTGAGAGCTCGTCCGCTCTGCACTACTCAGTGCGGGCTGGAGACCAGACATCTGGGTAGAGAACAGGGAAGGGTGGGTGGTGTTTGGGGGTTAGCCTCTGCTACTACACTCTGAGCTCACTGCTTTGCTTGGGAACTCTGCTTCTCCTGGTCTGCCCCGCCCAAGAAAAAAAGCACAGGACTCGAGTGACTCCTTTTTCTGTGTCCTGCAGGATCACACCTCAACACCCAAACCCTGAACTCCACACACTCTGTCATGCACACAGGAGGAGACCTGGACCAGAGGGCTACTGGAGGGTCGCACGTGTCCTAAGATCCCGGCATGACCTCTGTATGGGGCTTCCTTTAGTCTCGTATCCGCATGAACGACTGGCTGTAGACGCATGACCTACAGTCTTCAGTCCTGCCTCTAGCGACTATGGATCTCTGTGGGAATCAGGACAAAGGCCGCAAGAAGAAGGGAGAGAGGAGTGAGGGAGAGCGAGCGAGCCCCCAGGAGCACACGGGTGCAGACATGAATAAGGGCTCTACTGTGGCTGGGATGGTTGGTTCAAGTTTGTTTGCTTCTCTTTTGTTTTGTTTTGATTTTGACGTCAACCTCGTTTGTAAGAAACTCACGTGATCGTTCTGGAAACTGGGCATGGCATCAGTTTAGCGCCACCGTCCCGCATCCCCCCACCCCTGCACACACCACATGCCACTGGTAACGCCCCACCCTCTCCCCGGTGAGGGGACTGCTCCTCCCAGAACCACATGACTAACACAGGTGCACACATGCAGGTCTCCCCTTCATACTGATTTTACTGTGACCTCTGAAGCCGTGTGGATGAACTCGATACATACATATATATTTTTTTTATGTTGTCTCTCAGTTTCAGCATTAATCACTTCCAGTGAAAATCATTACCTTGAGAGTGCATTCGGGGTCCCTTGTGTCTAGGAATCTGAGAACTGAGGCAAGGAGTCCCCAGGATTTGGTGTAGGGCTCAAAGGAAGCCAGGGCTCCATCTCGAAGTTCTCTGCTGGGAAGGGCCTGTGGCTGTCTGGGGATTGCACCAGCATGTTCAATAGAAAGGAGGTTTTCTAACTCGTCAAGCACTTCTATAATAGTCTGCGTTCAAATTGTAAACTGTACAGTAATCAGCCTTGTGTATATGAAAACAATAAATACTATGCAAACCAATAGAGACAAGTTAGCAGTATGTACCAAGCCCTGAACAGCTCAGCTCCCGAGGACTCACTTCTCCAGGCTGTGGGAGGAGCTAAAGGCTGTCTTTCACTGAAACAGGAAGGGAGTAGAGCTGTGAATGGACCTGCCAGTTCTTAGGTCAGACCACCCTGAGGTCTCCCAGAGCCAACTTGGTGCTTGAAGTGCAGGTGGCCGCAGGCTGGAGGTCCTGGCACAGACGCTGGGCTCAAGCTCAACCATCGGCCCAGTGCGAGGAGAGCCTGAGCAGGAAAGAGCTGCTGACCAGGAGGCTGAGGAGAGACCCTCTTCTATCTAGACTCAGGGCCAGGCCAGGAAGGGACCCCTGAACTGGCTGGTCTTGCCTTGGAGCCCTCAGGGAAGAGCCTTAATGTCACACTAGAGTCTCCTGCAGAGGGAGGCCCGAATCAGCACAAACCGGCTCCGCCTTGCCTAGGCGGCGCCCCCTAGGGCCAGGAAAGAGACTGGCAGGCTCTTCTCGCTCTCCAGGAGCCACTGGTGAACGGCGGTCACCTTCCTCGCCTGCCGCTCTTCGGGCGTCGGGGTGTCGTCAGGACACAATAAAAACCTTCCAAGTAGCACAGACGCCCCTCCATGCCCGCGCCCCCATGCCCTGGAGGCTCGCCCCGGGCCTCCAGCCTCCGCGAGCTCTAGCCCCGGGCGGGTGTAGGGATTGGGGACGGGGGATGCTATGGTCCCCGCGGGCGCGGTAGCTTTCCTCCTAGGGGCGGCCCCGGGAGGGCTGGGCGGGCGAGGACGGGCGCAGGGTCGTCCCGCCTCGCCCCGCACCCCCCTGCTCCAGGCCGCCGCCCCAGTAGCGGCTCTTAGCGCCCCGCGCGGCCGGGCTCCGCTTTGGCACCCTCCGCTCAGTCTGGCTTGGCTGCTTGGCACGCCGCCCCCGCCCTCGGCGGCATGGCTGCGCGCTCCCGTTGCTAGTAGGAGCTGTTTAGGAGGAGTTTGGGGTCTCCACTTGATGCCTAGAGAATGCTGCAGTCTGCACCTTAGACGCTTTTTAGAAGTTTTGAAATGACCTTGATTTTTTTTTAATTGTTATGAAAAAATGAACTATGTCTTGGTTCTCTCACATGCTCTGTTACTGAGAGAGACCACCCCTCCCTACTCTGATGTATAGACCATTCTCCCTACACCAGCTAAACAAATGTCAAATTAATAAAGAAACTGACTCATGGCACAGGTCTCCATCTGTCTTTCTTGGCTCATCTTTGAGGGCTTGAGGTGCGGGGCAGGGGTGTTAGCCTGACTTGGAGTGTGATGGGGTCTGTTAGGAGGGGCATCAGGAGATACCTCTGCTCCCAAAAGGAGTCCACCAATGTCCAGTTCCTGGAAAGTCCCTTCATCAGGACCACCCTTCTCAGAAGCGCCCAGAAAGAGCTGACAACCCGTCTATCAGGAGATGAGAAGAGTTGGGGGTGAACCGACTCTACAAACCAGAGAGCCTGTCCGGGCAGGCAGGAGACATTCACCAAGGGGGGCTGATATATTCTGCCCTTGCCAGAGAGAGGAAGTGGTCCCTGTTCCGAACTAGTCTCCAACTCTTTATGCAGAGCGGAACTCCACACTGGTGGCCTTCCCTCCTTGGTCACAATGAGGATAAACAGTGTCTAAGGTCACTTGAGGTTACCTGACAACACACCCTTATCAGCTCCAGCATTAAATAAGAGTCAAATCATTTGCAGCAAATTCTCATTATTACGGAGTGGCCAAACCTTTGTCCCCCAATCCCTGGTGCACCTCAGCCCAGAGCCCAAGCTCTCAGTCAGGCACTGAAAGTATACCAACACCCCCCACCCCCACCCCATCCCCCACCTCCCCACCCTCCCACCCCCACCCCACCCCCGCCTCCCCGCCCCCCACCCCGGCGTTTGCGTTCCCCAGAGGGTTTTTGAAACACTCTCAGAGGCGCAGTTGCCTTGGTTGGGTGGCTTGTCTGGGAGTCTAATAGCTAGCACATGACGTGGTAGCAAACCTAACATAAAAACCATTAAGAACTTTTTCCCGAGGGTTTAAGTCCAGGCAGCAGAGGAGTGTGGTCAGCAAGATGAACAAAGACTCTCAGATGAGAGGGGAAATTAGCCAGAAGTTAACAGAGACTGAAGAAAGAGTGACTCAAAGACTTGTTGAGAGCTAAAAATCAGTAGAAGGCACACTGTACAGAGGTAATTAAAGAAAAAGACTAGCACAGTGTTCCTGCTGATGACTTAGCGGTTGACATCACCCCAACAGGCAGAGCCCCCCTTTCCTGACCCCGTAAGTAGGAACTCTGCAAAGAATAAGAACGTTCCTTGTTCAGTGTGCCCGGCTTCAAGGGTAAATTAGAATGCGTTGTTCTATGGGTTTGGTTCTGAGTGTAAAACTTGTCATAAATTAGAAATCAGTTCCCCAACATGAAGTCCTTCTTTTTCTCAGGCTGAAGAGAAGATGTCGAGAAACCTGTCTTTGGTTCCTAGCACCCATGCTGAAGGGTTCACAACTGTCTGTAACTCCATCCCCAGGGGATACAACATCCTTTTCTGGACTCCTCAGGTAGACAGACAGACACACAGATAGACACACACACACACACACACACACACACACACACACAGACACACACACCACAGTCTTTTTTTTTAAGAACCCTCCCTCACGTTTTTCTTAAAACTTGTAGAAAGATCACCTCCCCTTTTGCAAAATCTTTTCTATTTCTTCACCCAAATCACATATGTCACAGAGAGCATGGTTTACATCACATGCAAATGCTACATGGCAGCCAGCCTTCCCCCCCCCCCCCCAGCCCTCTGCTAACAAAGACTCCTGCCTCTCACCTGTGAAAACACCCCTCCCTCTATCCCCAAACAATAAGGGAGTGACTTCCAGGGAGTGACTTCCGGAAAGCCCAAGTGGCCAGTCAGGGAGAGCTCATCTGGAGAGACACTCACCTTGTCCCTGTCACTTCACTCTTTTGGAGAGTAACCGGGAAACAATGCTGACCTTAGAGAATAACCTGGGAAGCAAGCCCTCGACCCTTGTGCCTCAGTTTCCCTATTGTCAACGGAGAGGTTATCCCCACACAAACCAGCAGACTGCAAAAATTCATCAGGAACAAAGCACAGGGTGCTCTTGTATTTAGTTTAGTCCCAAGCCTCAACCCAACAGCCCTGCTTAGGACTCTGCCTCAGGATCACAGGGCCTCTGACATGAGGAACTACACCCAGGACACCAGACAGACAGAATATTGAAGAAACCAAGAAAGACTGGAAGAAGCAGGAATGTTTACAGTCACCCCTCTTCAGCCTCAGTGGAATGCCCCCCTCACCACACCCCTGCAACTCTAGGAGCTGCTGCATGGTCCACTTCCCTAGCCATTCTGTGAGAAGTTTCCCCCATACTCAAGTCCGAGAGATTTGCATTACCCCAGAGTAGCTCCTGCTCCAGGGGACCCCACTTACCCTGTCCTGGAGAAGGAATAGGTTTCATACCGGGGCAGCTTGGGACGGTGACCTCTGAGCCGGCCCTTCTCTCCCTCAAGGGAACAAATGAAGACTTCCGCAGGCGCCTCCAGTCCCTACCTCCAGGCACCAACCTTTTCCTAGACACTGGACTTGGATAAGCAAGAACAGCCTCTGACCATGCACAGGGCGTCTAGAGCTAATTCTTTCACACACGCACACGAACACACACACACACACACACACACACACGGACAGGCTGATTTACAGTCAATCTTTCAAAGTGCAATTTGTCTAGGAGAAGCCAATGTGAGGCCCATGTGGGCTCCAACCAATGGCGGCACAGCGCTGACAGCTCAGCCAGTCTCAGGTCTGTATTCTAATGGGCCATATCTTTATCAAGGAAATGTCCCTTCTCTGAACTTAAAACTTCTGATGGAGGGCCCCCAGACTCAGAGGCAGAGAAATCGGGTGCTCTGAATATGGGGAGCACACCTCCTTAGAGCCAGCTGGTGGAGGGGGAAAGCGGAAGGCCTCCCACCTTCTCCGGACACCTGACTTCCGTGCTGCATCTCTGAGGAAGGGCCGAGGCAGAGGGCAATCAGAGGCTGGGGTGGGATGGGAGGACACTGATTCCCCAAAGCTGCCATAAGAGTCTGGGCCATCGTTGGAGGCGTTTGGGCTGTAAGGGCTCCTCGCCCTCCTCCTCGCTGACCTGGAGATCATGGAGTCCAACCTGCAGGGGACGTTCCTCCTGAACAACACACAGCTGGCCCAGTTCTCGGAAATGAAGGCTCCCATGTGCCAGTACTCCGTGCAGAACTCCTTCTACAAACTCAACCCTCCGGGACTTGGCCCCCAGCTGGCCGCTGGGACGCCCCACGGGATCACTGACATCCTGAGCAGGCCGGTAGCCACTCCAAACAGCAGCCTCCTCTCTGGCTACCCCCACGTGGCAGGCTTTGGTGGACTCGGCTCCCAGGGGGTGTACTACGGCCCCCAGGTGGGGAGTTTCTCCAAGGCTGGGAATGAGTACCCCACCCGGACCCGGAACTGCTGGGCCGACACAGGCCAGGACTGGCGAGGCGGCGCTCGGCCATGCAGCAACAGTGAGTAGCAGGGCCTTCACCCCACCCCAGCCTGCCCCGGGGAGGAGGCAGGAGGCAGGGGTCTTTCACAGATGGGGCTGCACTATGCTCTTCCCCTCCTCAGCCGCCATTACGTAGCCCCCAGCCTGGTCCCTTTCCTCAGCTCACGGGAGTCCTGACTCCACACTCTCCCTCTCCTAACCCGCCTCCACCTAGCACGGGTGTCTGAACCCCACCTCGCCCACCGCCACTTCAGCTGTCCTTCAAGGGACTTTGGGTGTCCCAGGCCCCACGAACACAGCCCACCCCACTCGGTGCAACATCCAGCCGGCAGCTCAGTTTGCCTCTGCCCAGAGTCCCGCAGCCCCCCCCCAGAGTCTGCTTACCCCGCAGAAGAAACCTTTCTGTGCTATCGTTTCCCAAGGGGCCCAATTTTGCATGGCATCGGTCTAAGACCCACTGAGGTCTCATCTAGAAGCCAGGGCCCATCACCCACCTTCTGCTCCGGGCTCGCGTCCGCAATGGCAGTCACGATAGCCCAGCCTTCAGGGACAACAGAGCTAAGTTGACCTTGGTCCTGACTGCTGGAGGGCCCCCTTACCCCACCCATCCCTCAGACCGGGGTTTCTGAGAACTGGAGTGGAGGGGGTGGGCATTGTGCCAGTCAAGAATCCAGGAAGTGCCAGGGGCATGTGCTGGTGAGACATGCTGGGAGAGTGTGGCAGTGGCCTCTAGGGCTCTTGCCGGGCCACTAAAACTCTGGATGGGATGGATAAACATTGGGGGACAAAGGCAAAGCAGCCCTCTACCTCTCTGTCATCTCTCCAGCACCCCCTCCCATTACAGAAGGGATGTGGAACCAATGATGGAAATCCCCAAAACTCTTACCCCCCCCCCCCCCCGTGTGCCTGGGTAACAGCCACCTCCCTCAGACCTCATCTCTTGGAACCTATTGTACAATGTAGTTTGGGGTAATGTAAGCCCAAACTGTCTCTCCCACACCTCCACCCACACCCACCATCCTGTCTCCAACACACGCACACATCAGAAACTAGTCAGGAAAGCCAGTGGCCAGTTTAGCACAAGAGGAGAGCGAGCTGGAAACGGTCATTGTTTAGGACAGTGATTCCCAGCCTGCGGGACACGACCCCTTGGGGCTTGAATGTCCCGTTCACAGGGGTCGAATATCATCCTGACATCCTGCATATCAGGTATTTATGCTATGATTCGTAACAGCAGCAGAGTTACAGTTATGAAGTAGCAATGAAATAATGTTATGGTTGGGGGGTCAGCACTGTGTGAGGAACTGTATTAAAGGGTCACAGCATTAGGAAGGTTGAGAACCCGTCTTAGGAAGTCCTCTCCTCTTTGCTGAAGTCTCCTGCCTGTAATGAGGACAGAGGACACAAGTTGCCGGACTACACTGAGTGGCCATATGGGTACTTGGCTAGCTTCGAGCCTCCTTCATGAGCAGCCAGTCCTGGCTGAGTTTGGGGTCTCCAGCCTCTCCAGATGACTCTGGTACTCCAACACCCGGCTGTGCAATAGATTCCAAGGGGTCTGAGTGAAGGTTGTCTTACAGGCTGGAGGAACAGCATCATGGAGCCCTAAGCTTTCCCCCTCCGTGCTTTTGCAACAGATCTGGGAAGCCGGGGACTCAAAGAAAAAGGGACAAGGAATTCAGAGGCCCTGGAGGTCTAATTGCAGGTGGAAGGCACGCACGCCTGTCTTGGTGAAATAAAGGGCATTCTTGTCTTGGTGCCTTGACTCAGAAAAGAGATTCCCATGTGTCCCCTGGGGAAGGCAGCATTGGTCAATTATGGGGAAACTAGAAGAGAAGACACAAGATCCAGTTCTAAGTCCTTGCTGTCCCAAGTAGCTAAACCTGGTGCAGCTGCCCTCTGGGGACCCTGTCTGCCCAGGTATGGTAGAGATCACAGTAACTATTGTATGAATGCCAGAGCGAGCTCACCTGGCAGGTGTCACCACGTTCCTGTGACTCGGGGGCTTCTGGGTAGAGCACATCCCTGTGGAAGACACAGGACTGGAGCCCATCAGGTCTCCACTCACCCCACTAACCTTAATGTTCTTCCTCCTGCCAGCCCCAGATCCTCTGAGTGACACCATCCACAAGAAAAAGCACACCCGCCCTACCTTCACGGGCCACCAGATCTTTGCTCTGGAGAAAACCTTTGAGCAGACCAAGTACTTGGCTGGCCCAGAAAGGGCGAGGCTAGCATACTCCCTGGGCATGACGGAGTCGCAGGTCAAGGTGAGTCTGCAAGAGAAGGCGTCTGCCCACCTTACTGTAGAGATTATCAGAATTACAAATGCCCCCCTCCGGTGACGGCTATCTACCCAGCCCATCTGATCCTGTAAGCAGTGCCTCCGTTAAGTCTCACCCTGTCTTGAAGTCACTGTTATGGTCCATTTTACAAATAAAGGGACAAGGGTCAGTTAATCGAGCCTGGTGCTTGTAGTCTTCCATTCTGTGGAACACTGCCCAATCTTTAAAGTGAAGGTAATACACCTTCTGTTCCCACCCACGTAGGGCGGGTGGCAGAGATCAGCCACCGGCTTGCACACCTCAGAGCCATCACCCGCCTCTCTACTGCCACCTTCTCAGGCTCCCAGGACAAGCCGTCCCGGTGTCCACACTTTGGATGTGAACAGATTCGGGAGGTTCTGGGGGACAGAGTGGGACCTACCTCAGCGGATTGTCACAGCCACGGGAGAAGGCTGAGTGTGGAAGGCGAAGGATACGATGGGCTCTTGACTAATTTATTTGCCTCTTCAGGGCTCCACAGTCTTCAACCATCTCAAGTAACAAACTTACTGGCCCTGTTGTTTTCCTAGGGGGCATTCATGAGCTTCCAAATGAAGGGCAACTTTATTCGTTCATTTCGTGTTGTTTTGCTTGCTGGAGGTAGAACAGAGGACCAGGGCATGCTAGACCCCGGGCTCTACCATCACAAGTTTCTGGGTCCCAGGGAGGACTCTAGTCAATGAAATTTCAGGGGCTTCGGCTCAGATGCCCGCCCAGTCAGGTGAGAGGAAGCAGCAACTCAGGGAGAGTTTCTGTCAGAGGAAACGTCTCGGCACGCTTTATTTAATTTTATTATATTTTACTATCCCTCTCCGAGTAACGCATGGGGAAGCGGTGTATGGTCGCTCCGTACATGACTCTGGGGCGGCGAGGGGACCCCGCAGTGGAGCCCGCTCCCACAACCCGGGCGCTCTTTGCAGGTGTGGTTCCAGAACCGCCGTACCAAGTGGAGGAAGAAGAGCGCCTTGGAGCCCTCGTCCTCTACACCCCGGGCCCAGGGCGGTACGGGAGGGGACCGCGCGGCCTCGGAGAACGAGGACGATGAGTACAACAAGCCGCTGGACCCGGACTCGGACGACGAGAAGATCCGCCTGCTGTTGCGCAAGCACCGGGCCGCCTTCTCGGTGCTCAGCCTGGGCGCGCACAGCGTCTGACCCCGGGCCCGCTGCGCAGACCGGCCTTCCCCTCCCCTTTCCGTGCAGCCAGCTGAGGGTGGGGGACAGAGAGGAGGAGCGCCGAGGGAGGGGGAGGAAAGAGAAAGAGGAGGCTGAAGCGAGAGGGATGGAAAGAAAGACGGACAGGGATTGATGGCGAGCGCATCAAGAGAGGAGATGGTACAGCTTTCTGCCATGTCTCCCCTCTGGTGCCCTTGCCCGGTCAGCCCTGCCAGAAAGTGAGCAGGCTTTTTGCAGCAGGGAACCTGGCTGTGGTGCTCTCCAGAAGCGTGCTTTCCCCACTAGGAACAGGGAGTCAACAGGTACTACGCCCAGTCAGCGGCTGTGACTGCAGAGCCAGGGATGGAGTCTGAGGTCCAGCTGTGCTTCCAAATGCTCTCACTGGTGGGGGCAGGAGAAGTCCACCTCCGCCAGGGGAGTGGGTTCTGAAAACAGAAACTCTTGTAAACCTGAGTTTTAGGACCCTAGTGGCACTTTATTCTGAATGTAGATCCCTCGGTAACACGAAAGACAAAGCCTGGAAACGGGAAGTGGGGGAAACAGGCAGAGGCGAAAACAGACGAGAACCCTATGATTATGTTGTCCCTGGGAGCCACCCATCAAGGCATCCCTGGGTACCCAAGGACATGAGAGCGTGGGGGCACCTTAGCAAGAAGGAGAGAAGGGCTCTGAAAGCCATGCTCCTCCAACAGGGTCACCGGGCAGGGAGAACACCAGGCAGGACAAGGGATTGAGGGCTGTTGGGTACCCACTGTGTCTCCTTTCGTAGCCCATCCTGTGGCCTGGCCCTGTACTGATGTCTTCTGCTCCGGGTATTATCGCGCTCCTGGCAAGGAGAGGGTGGGCTGGCCATAGAGGAGTGCAGCCCAAAGGAATCAAGGTGTACCTATCCTCATTGGCTTTTAAAACAAAAATAGAATAAAGCTGAAAATCCCAGAAACCTCCCCGTGGCTCCTGCGCTTCTATGAAGGGAATAATGACAGTGTTTCTCTCATGCCGTGAAATTATTGTTGGGCTGGAGAAATGGCTCGGCTCTTAAGATCATCTGCTGATCTTGGGAGGACCAGTGTTTGGTTCCCAGTTACAGGCAGCTCACAACTGCCTGAAACTCCAGCTCTAGGTGATCCGGCGCCCTCCTTTGGCCTCTTCAGGTACTGCATGCATGCTCACAAATTCACACACACATACACACACACACACACACACACACACACACTTAAAAATAAAAAATAAATCTTTTGTAAAATAAACAAAAAAAATGATGCTGAGGCCATCAGCCATAGGCCAAGCTGTTATCTTCAGTCACAAGAGAGACTTCTAACAGGTTCTGTGTTTAAGCAAACTTTTTGGAGACTCAAGTTCTGTGCATCTTCTACGTCCCAGATGTTTCAGAGTTAAGGGGAAGGGAACAGGCCTGTGTTCATCACAGCCACAGCATCTTCCCTAACAGGCACCTCGGGTGCTAACAGGCAACCACAGTTCTCAAGTGTGTCATTCATACTAGTGCGCCCAGTAAAGGGTTTCAGCTCAGGAGCTCAAGAACACCGGGGTGGGCTGCTATGCTGAGTGAGTAGCCTATTGAGAGAGACATTAATGCCACAAAAGACAGCACACTGGGAGCTCTGAGTAGCGGTCAGGCCCGTGAGGCTAAGCACAGGTCCTGTCTAGATTTCAGAAGGTGGGGGGTGTCCTATGAGAGTGTTTCTCAGCTTATGGGTCACGACCTCTTGGGGATCAAATGACCCTTTCACAGGGGTCACCTAAGACCAAATGAAAACACAGATATTTGCATTACAATTCGTAACAGTAGCAAAATTACAGTCACAAAGTAGCAATGAAAATCACTTTATGGTGGGGGGGGCTGTCACCACAACATGAGGAACTGAATTAAAGGGTCCCGGCATTAGGGAGGCTGAGAACCACCGTCCCAGCCCACATAACTGATAAATATCCCGTAGTGTGTGCTTGCAGGCAGGCTGTCTTGACTCCTGGGCAACAGGGGGTGGAAGGAGGCTCAGCCCTTTAGCTGATCTGCGCTCACCCCACCTGACGACCTAGGAGTATAACCGTCCTTAGCCGGAAGGAGGCAGGTGTAGACACACAGACAGCCGTGGCAGGTGCCACCGCATCTTTTACTGCAGCTACGAAGGCAAAGAGAGGGAAAGACCCCAATAGTCTTAGCTCAAACCTAATAGTCAGCAGGCCGGGAGAGTACCGGTGGCTGCCGATGTCATGCCAGGTTCCGAATGATGGCACCCTGACAGCAAGGATCAGAAAGGGGGCAAGTAGTGAACCTCCACTTCTGGGACCTGACCCCAGGCTCAGGCCATCCTCGGCTTTGATCTTGGAACTCCATTACCCTCTGAAATGGCACAGGGCAGAGAGGCCCATGGACTGAGCTCTGCCGTTTTCTGCATCTTTGGGTGACCTGTTTAATGCCTGGGCCTCAGTTTACTCATCTGTAAATGGGATAATAATTATTCATCCATGTAGGGTTGAGTAAGATTAGAATAAGAGCAGGGCATGGCAGAGCAGGTCTTTAGTCCCAGCCCTCAGGAGGAAGAGGCAGGTGAGGTCAAAGCCAGCCTGGCTTCATAACAATTCCAGACTAACCAGGACTCCATCAAAAAGAGGGGCAAACACTGAGCTTCCACAAGACCCCATCTCGGGAGAAAAAGGGAAAATCTGAAAAGGAAAGCAATAAAAATAAAATAATGAGTGTCCCTGCAGATACCAACAGGAAATGGAAATAGCCATTGTCAACCATTTGGGAGACACTTGGGAAACATCCCGGCTCCCAAAGCTTGTGTGTCCTGCAACATTGCTGGGTGGAAACTTGATGTCCTGGGTGATGGTGTTAAGGACTGGATTGTGGGGGTGACCTGCCCAGGAGAGCTCCACTCTCTTAAAAGGGCTTGCTAGAGGGAGGGACCCTTTTGGGCCCCTGCTGCCTCTTCTTAGAAGTGAGGACATTGCTCAAGCTGCCATCTTAGAAGCGGAAATAAGGCACTGAACCTGGTGGCCCTGTGATCTCAGATTCCTAGTCTCTCTCTGAGAATCACCCAGGCGCTGGGGTATGAACAACACAGGCCTGGGTGTGGCTCCCCACTTTAGCTAGTGGTAGCCGGGAGCACTGTGAGCCAGTCAGCTCGTTTCTCGATGAGGCCGGTGCCCTGGCTATAGGATGAGGCTGGAGGAGCAATCCTGGAAGATGATGGGACCCAGGGAACTGCGCCTGAGCCCAAAGGAGCTTGGTACCACACACCCTACTCTTCCTCTTCCGGTGCACACTAGCGGTCAAGGCTGGGACACACGGACAGTCATAGCTACTGACTGCTTCATGCGTTCAACCCCCCTTCCATGTGTCAGTTGCTGCCTGGGGGTCATGGAAGTCTGCCTGGGGGGGGGGTGGGGAGCAGGTTCACATCACCAAAACCTCTCTTGGAACTCCGGGCTACAGCGTCGACTGCAGCTTCCAGGTATACCATCTTGAATGCAGTGTTTTCACTGTCAGTGGTCAATGGCAGGAGCGCATGCTCCAGTAAGAGACCCTGCCCCTAACCATTTTCCCACTCAGCGTTTGGAGCCCGCCGTGTCATATCACCTGTCCGGTCACCGCAGGCTTCTGTGTCTGTGCACACTACTCGAGGCTTCACTTAGCACCAGCGGGACGCAACAGGGGTTCCTGCTTTTCCTCTGACATGCCACGGTGTGGGATGCAAAGATGCCAGCACTCCCTGCAAAGGACCGTTGCGAGGGTTCTGTCCCCTTCAGCCAGTCACCTTTCAGCTGTTGGAATTCAGCGGCTGGCATTGCTATCCTCCAGATGAAGATGAAGAGGCAGAGACGCTGCTGGCTCACTCCGGACGCATGAGCTCCGATTCATCCTGCTGTCTGAAGGGTGTGCGCCTGACTCACTGTATTGCTGGTCCTGGCCTAAGGAGCAGCTCTGCTGCTGTTCCCGCTGCTGCACTCCTGGAGCGTTCCTTAGATATCGGTGATGTCTCCTGGGCTGTTCTAGGCATTTTCCTTACCTCACACCACATTAAAAAATCCTTAGGTGTCCCATTATACCTCTTTATAAATTGTTGGTAGTGAGAAACTGGAGGAGTCAGGCAGCTTTCAGGGCATTGTCCTGCTCAACCCAGGCTGACTCTGGAACACTCCCTTTTAACTATAATAAAAATCACAATGGAAAAAAGGGAAAAACGAAACTTAAAATAACAAAAATAGATTCAAATTTCAGAATGGCCTAGTAGCAAACACCTGTAGCCGCAGCACTCGGAGGCTGAGGCAGGAGAGTAGGAGTTCAAGACCAGTCTACATTTTCACAGTCGGTGCTTGCCTTTGCCAGATGGGAAATTCAGAAGCAGCTGTTTCTGCAGAGAGTATGAATAACAGTGTGTAAAGTAGAGAGGAAGCCAACTATGTGACAAACTAGGTGTCATAAAATTTCGTCTGAAATTTTTTAAAGGGACAGCCCAAGCTATAGGGTGAACGTTTGTGTAAAACAAAACAAATCATAAATAAAAAACAGCTGGATGAAGATGAGGCTGGGACACAGCTCAGCGATGGAGGACATGTTTAGCATCCTACCCTGGGTTCCATCCTCAGCACCAAAACTAAGTAAATAAAGGCAAGATTTTTTTTTGTTTTTGTTTTTTTGGTTTTTCGAGACAGGGTTTCTCTGTGGCTTTGGAGGCTGTCCTGGAACTAGCTCTTGTAGACCAGGCTGGCCTCGAACTCACAGAGATCCGCCTGCCTCTGCCTCCCAAGTGCTGGGTTTAAAGGCGTGCGCCACCAACGCCCGGCCAATAAAGGCAAGATTAAAGGAATAAAAACACTAAGGACTGTGTCTGTGTGTCTGTGTGTGTCTGTGTGTGTGTGTGTGCGCGCGTGCCTGTGTGCATTTGTGTGTACAAGACTTGAGTCACATCCAGACCAGTCTGAAGATGATGTCTCATTGTGGTTTTAATTCACATTCTCCAGGACTGGGGATAACACTTGTCTAACACACACAAGGCTCTCGGCCCAGGCAGCACTGAAGGGAAAGATTGGCCTTCATTTGCAGTTCCTAATGGTTTGTGGTGTTAAGTAGTTTTCAGATACCTGTTAGTCACTAATCTTCTTTTGTTGCCTAGCCACTGAGTCCCTTATATAGTCCAGAATGTATAGCTTGAACATATTTTCCCAGAGCAATGAAGAAATGGAAAACAGCAAGCTTTGACATTAATTGTGACCAACAAGCTTACCAGGAAAATACTAGTTTACGCAGGAATAAGGAAATAGAACGAGAAACTGTCTGGGACCGGAGACAGCAGAGCTAATGCTGATGTACAGACTTCTGCTCTGTGGTCCTGCTGCCCCCCAAGCGGAACATTTTCTCCTCTCCCTTGAGAAGGGACCACTGCAATATCAGCTTAGGCAGCAAGTCCTGTTTGCTAAAGGTAAAACTGTCAACTGGAAACCTGCAGACTTCAGCTTCTGTAAAACTTGCTCAGCTCTGGGAAAAATCTCCTTTGGGGCAGAGATAAAAAGGCCACCCCAGATGATGCCTAACCCCATAGAAACCATGAGGTATTTCTGGTGTTTTCTCAGCACTGAGGAGGATGCTGTCCTTTTTCCGTTGCATTCTCCTGGTACCTTCCGGCCTGTGTTCAGTTCTGTTTCTCAGTGTGTCTGTTTTCATTTCTCTGTAATGCCGTTTAATTAGGATAGCTGTGTAGTGCCATTTGAAGTCAGGGAATGTCTGAGTCCCCAAACTTGGTCCATTTTGCTAAGTTCGCCTTGGCTATTTGGCTTTTAAAAAAGTGGTTCGATATAAAATTCAAGTGTTTTTGTTTTGTTTTGTTTTTCTTTTTTCCTCATGTGAAAGGGACGTTGGATTTTGATAGGGATTGTGTCTCTCAGGTAGCCGACTCATCATCAGGCTTGTTTGCT